CCGATGAACTTTAAAATACGCACACGACGACGTTTAACGGTTTTATCACGACGTAATTCTTCTCCTATATTTGCACAGAAAATCATACTCTTACATATGTATAAAACAGTTATTTTAAACTAAAACTTGAATTTTATTGAGAGTTGGAAAAAACATTGTACTAAGTGGCGAAGCACTAAAATGGCGTGATCGAGCAGTGAACAAGTAAACGAGGTGTAATGTCAAAAAATTCTTATTTTACCCTATGCTCATGCTATTATAGGTACTACTAGTGTTGTTTATATGCTAATCTTGAGGACGAAGCCGAGTATAATTTATAAATTGAATTGTGGATGTACCGCAAAAGGGTAATTCCAGGGTAAACAGTAAATATTTTCTAAAACGAATGAGGAAATTGTGTTTGGCCTCAGTAGTCGAATGGCTTGCGCCCGGTTTTCATGGTGTCGCGGTGTCGCAATTTTCGAGGTCCCGGGTTCGATCCCCGGGCGGAGCAATACAGACAATCTATTACACATTATATTACAACATACAAGACATTAATAAAATCTTTGCCTTCTCAGAGTGCCTGAGAAAGAAATTAACATTCTAGGCCCGACGCCCACTGACGGCACGGGACGGTAAGGAATTATTACGTGACGAATAGTAACTTACCTTAAAGTTATGGCATTACAGTTAAAACTGCACGCACGCACGGCAAGACTTATCTGAAGAGACACCAGGCGCGAGCACGATATCACTACGGAATGCTTTAGGATGCCGCGTCTCACCTGAGGATACCGCGGCATAATTACCATCAATGTTGCATGGAGTAACGCCGAAACGGCACATATCGGCGCCTTCCCGCCAGGGGGCCCGCCCCTAACAGTGCAAGTTCCGCATGTTCCATACTCATTTGTCGTCTTTCAACGTGAGAATCTAAGAATCTTCATGGAGTATACTAGCAATGACATATAAAGAAAATTAAAATAATAATTATAGATGGTTCCGTACTTTTTGGTAATATTGTAAATATTTTATTGAACACACGATTGACGAATTTTTGTCACCATCACTGACATGAAATATGTTTGGTTGGTTTTCTTTACATTTTGTATAGGAGACCGCCACTTGACTTTATATATTGAACTTGGGTTCGTTCTTATCATAAGGGGCATAGAGTTCAACTTAAATCTTAAGTCCAAAACTTACTATACTGTCTATATAGAAAATGTTCACATGTTGGTTAGATAGCTAGTGCTCCTAGGCATGACATCACGTTTGCAATACATATATGTGTTAAAATATAATGTCAATATAGCATAAGCTTACTTGTTATATCATTATGATTAATTTTTTTTTAATCTTGTCTCTTTGTACTTGTGATGTCAAATAAATATATTATTATTATTATATCTTATTTATTTATACCGAGAGACGGGACGAAAAAGAATGATTGAAATTTATAACTGTTAACTATTACATAATTACAAAACGCAAGTTTCAGAGCTATGGTTTAGTACTCACACTCGTCAAAAAACACACGCCCCTAACTGATTCTGGCGCAAAAGCGCCCATCACTCTTGCCGTATTTCCTCGCTGTACGGCAATGGACAAACTTTGCGCCAAGAACAACCCGGTGCGGAAGTCATCTCCACTCTTTCTTAGCCGTCGCCCGGTTTCCGCTACAAACTTATTCGTATCGCTACCCCAAAGACCCGCCGTCTCAACCGCAAGCGGAACGGAAATATATCGAGTTTCCAATTCGCTATATTTGTCCCGCTTCTTGCGAGCAGCGAACTCCGCAGCTGCAGCAGCTGAAGTCACTGTACCACTGAGATGCGAAGCTGCTAACGTGTTAACATATGTCGCATCCTACAGGAGACACCTACCCCTCTCCCACGGCACCAGAGTCATTCCGTGAGGCCTTTTCCCATCTGATCGACTAATACCGGGAGGTTCCGGCACGCATGGAATATTTGCTGAAACTAGGGCCCGATGCGACGGATAATTTTGTTTAAGGCTTGATATTTTATTTGTTTCAATCTAAAAAAAGATTTTATAAATACGGTTTGATAAATATCGCTTCCTTTCTTTAGAGGTGATCGCGGCCCTGTAGTCACAGTGTAAGTTGTACGGTCAAGTTGGACATTTAGGATGGTTCTTATCGCAAGTGGTAAACAGTTCTTAAGCGTCAAGCTTGATGTGCTCTTGACGCTGTACTTATCATAATACTTATTCAAAGCTTAAAAATTTGTAGCTAATTTTCATTTAAACATTTGTGACCCCACGTTACGTATCGTTGAGTACAGGTTACTTAAATAAAATATTTACATGTAATATGTATACATATTTAAATACCTATTCAACACTCGCTCCGCTGTAATGCTCTACAAAAATATTCCCTCAACCATGTTCTTTCGAAAAGTTTCACTGAGCAATGGCATCGGTAGGGTATTCGGGGGCAAGCAGGTGACGCATATCCAACAAACGCTTTGTGTAATTTAAGCGCTAAGGGCCCGTTCCCACTATGTCGTCACGTTTTATTATCGTTAGACGACTGTCGTGTCTAGCCTGGGAACACGACTATCTGTCGTGGACGATTTTTTATTGTTGAACGGCTGTCGTGACTAGCTGTTCCTATTAGATCGTGACGACAATTTATCGTTTCACGACAGCCTCCTTGTCGTTTGCACGACAGAATCGTTTGATGCACTGCAGTCGCTTGTATGTTCTTTTGGAAGCCGGTGGTGTGTGTTCGCTCGAAATGGATGAAGACGAAACTTTAATAACATATTACTTTTTAAAAATGCAATGGAAGAGGAAACAAACAAAGAAAAGAAAGTTTTAGGTACATCCAATGTTACTAAAAACAATTCCATTAGGGTTATGTCAAACGGTATACGAAGTTGTTTTCGTTTCGGTATTGTCAAAACCTGCTACGACCAGAGATGGGCAGTGGGTTAAAATCCAATCAACCCGCCCGTGTTTTCACCAGGGTTTTACCCGAAGCGCCGAGTTTTAACCCATTTCTGCCCAAAATCGTGCGCAGAAACGAAGAGTACGGAATTTGGTATAATTCCAACACTAACAATATAATATACAATAACTTGTAACAAATTTCTATATTTTTATTATACGAAGAAGAGGCATCTCCACATAATAGCCACCACCTATCAATCCTGTGGATTCTCAATGAAGATCGATTCAAGTGCATACGATCTAACGTTTTTTTGTATCAATTTATTGATGAACTTTTCAAGCGAATCTATTCAATAGAAAGGTAAATCTAACTGTCCTGATAATAAAGCAACAAATATTTTATAATGTGTATAATTAAATTTGAATAAAACTCAATTCACCACAAATATTTAGACGGTAATAGTTTCTGCTCTGGATTTTGGGTTTTAACCCGATTTAAACCCGGTGTTAACAAAGCCCCGGGTTAAAACTCGGGCGCTTGCCCATTTCTTGCTACGACCCAACGCTACTGCAAAGCGAACATAGCGCGCGGGATACTAGAGAGGAGGGCATGGAACAGAATACGTGCGGACAGCGATAAATAAAACGTGACGACAATAGCAGCTGCGACAATCTGTCGTCACGTTTTTATCGTGACTTTTTTTATCGCCTGACACTGTCGTTCTAGCTGTTCCCAGTGTGACGACAGTTCGATAAAAAATCGTGAACGGCAGTTAATCGTGTCGTGCTATATGTGAACAATTTCATTTAAATATACAAGCCACGACTCTGTAAACTGCACGACAATCTGTCGTCACGACATAGTGGGAACGCGCCCTAATTCGACTTCAATGTATAATAATAATACTAGGGAAACCCTGTGTCGCGGGTGCCATGGACACACATATAGACAACCACAAATTACACCCAAACTCACGAGAGAAATAAATGTAGGCCATACAAATATTTCTCCTCCTGAATCGAACCTGGGACTTCTGCGTGGCGGTCCGGCATGGTAACCGTTCCACCACAGAGGCATTTGAATATAAAAGTTATGAAACAACATTTTAGATAATTTTTATATGGTAAAAACGGCCATGCTCAGCCTTTACCATACTTTGATGATTAAATTATTCATCCAATTGCGAATTCATTATATAGTTAAATTTAGAAAACGATACATTCTAAAAATAAAGTGTCACATATATATTTGGCAGTAGGTACAACACATGTGAATCTTTATTATTTATCTGTTATTGTTAATAAATGGTTATATTATAATAATTAATTATTGTCCCTAATTTATAACAACCTTTTCATATCTGAGTAAATCATATAGTAGCGTAAATCTACACGGGCGGCGGGCGGTACCACCTAACATCAAAGGCGTTGCGCTACTGTAGAGAAGACAATTTGTTGGCGCTATGCCATGGTATTGCTGGCTCCCAATTCATCCTATTACTCTTGTCTACGCTATAGTCTACGCAACTTCCTTCAAATGAGTTCATTTTTGGAAGTACTACTACCATACCGATTTTTGTCGCCAAGATGGTTTTGAAGGGTAAAGGTACTGGTGAAACTACAGACATATAAGACTTGTCAACGTTATATCTCAGGGTGGCTGGTGTAGTGGCTGTGTCCTTCAGACCTTTGTATTTTTTAGCTCAAGATTGGTACTACCACTATTATGGGTAGACGTAACGCTTACCACCTAGCGCACAATTTGTTCGGACCAGTCACTTTTCGACACGGCAATTTTTTTTGTAATTTTAAGAGACTTCTTTTTTAGTTAGGTAATTAGTACACTTAGTCAATTATTTTCGGCATTAATTGTCATTTCTATCTTGCTATCACACAAATATTCTGTACAACAGAACCCTAAGAAATAAATGTTTTTGAAGTGACATTTATTATTCGAACAGGGTTCGAATTTTTATTTACCTTATGATTCATTTGTTTTCAGGTTTGTTCCAAATGTGTTCGAGATAGTGTGAAAACATACCAAGACGACGATATTCAAACATCTTGAGGTTGTAATAGATTTATTTTAAAATAAGCACATTATAAGCTTAATAGAAAATGCGTGAGTGCATATCCATACATGGCGGACAAGCCGGAGTTCAGATCGGGAACGCCTGCTGGGAGTTGTATTGTCTCGAGCATGGAATTCAGCCTGACGGACAGATGCCTTCGGACAAAACTGTCGGTGGCGGGGATGATTCCTTTAACACATTCTTCAGTGAGACTGGAGCAGGCAAGCACGTACCTCGAGCAGTATTTATCGACTTAGAGCCTACAGTGGTAGACGAAGTGCGTACAGGGACTTACCGTCAGCTGTTCCACCCTGAACAACTTATCACGGGTAAAGAGGACGCAGCGAACAACTACGCGCGGGGTCATTACACTATTGGGAAAGAAATTGTGGATCTGGTGTTAGACAGAGTGCGCAAGCTCGCAGATCAATGCACGGGACTACAAGGATTCCTCATATTTCACTCCTTCGGTGGAGGCACAGGATCAGGCTTCGCTTCCTTACTCATGGAACGTCTCTCCGTAGATTACGGTAAAAAGTCGAAGTTGGAATTTGCCATTTATCCCGCACCGCAAATATCAACTGCTGTCGTAGAGCCATATAACTCAATCCTCACAACTCATACGACGTTAGAGCACTCGGATGCAGCGTTCATGGTCGATAATGAAGCCATTTACGATGTCTGCAGAAGAAATTTGGATATTGAAAGGCCAACCTATACTAATTTGAATCGTTTGATTGGACAAATAGTGTCTTCTATCACAGCATCCCTTAGATTTGATGGTGCGCTGAACGTTGATTTGACGGAATTTCAAACCAATTTAGTTCCGTATCCTCGTATCCACTTTCCACTAGTAACGTATGCTCCTGTAATCTCGGCTGAAAAAGCCTATCATGAGCA